TACCTATCCTATGCAAATATCGAACGTAGAATCTAGCACCATATCGAGTCAGTGCTTAAACCATCAAGTTCATTCATGTGGGGGATTGTCGGAAAAATTATTGAATGAATTGATGCTATTTATAGCTAATTATTAATAAGTCATGTCACTTGATGAATGGACTTAATTTTTGGTTTAAAGTTACATCCATTCAATCATACTTATTCAGCAATTCTCTTCATGAAAAGATTAAATAATTTCATGAAAAGGTTAAGCACTTTTCATCAAAAGGATAGGTCCTTTAATTGAAAGATTAAGTCATTTCATCGAAAGGTATTAACCCTTGAATCCATTTCTCCTCTATATATAAGCTAGTTAAGGCACAATTCTAAAATATAACACAACACAAGTTATAAATACAACTTTGAGACACAATTCACAAAGTTGAATTATGATAACACTTAGAAAGTTCATTCCAAATATGTTCTTTCCGGTGATAGAGAAAGGAAAGATTATGTTCGACTGATCACTACGGTTGTGATTACTGTTGTGATCGTTTGTTGTTGTATCTTGGGAAACTGACGTCCAACGTTACTCAAAGCACCGAGGAGAGGACGAATCTGTCTTAAGGAAATTGTTCATACAAGCCTCAACAAAATTCTTCTTCGATTAATGTTTCTCTACTCATCTGATTCAATGTTAAATATGAGTAAACCAATTTCTTGCCTCTACTTTAAGTTTTATTTATTTTGCTTCGTTCGATTATATAATAATATTTATTATTATTATTATTATTTTATCTCGGATTAACATTTTGTCTAACAATCCATCAAGTTACTTGAGTAATAAAAGGAAATGTTATTCTCTTTACAAGTCTAGGGTTCGAGTAGCTGCGTTTGCAGGGTATATGTTATTCAGGCCCGTCCCAATAGATTTGGAGACTATGTGTTACATTTTAAAATGAGGTCCCTAAAATATTTTACAATAAGACGAAATTGTAAAATATCAAAATTTATCATATTACTATTGTTTCTTATAAAATAAAATAAAATTCTAAACATATGAAATTAAAAAAAGTCATAAAACAACTCTATAAGCGTGATATTTTATTTAAAAGTGTCATCATTCGAACGCCCTTAGAGCAAAATAAAGATATTTTCTAAAGTGTGGGGCCTCCAAATTTTGGGGCCCTGTGACGTATAACATTTTATATTTGCTAATGGACGGGTCTGATGTTATTAATAGGTTAAGAAAATTCTAAATAAATATTATTTTTTAATCACCCTAAACTATTTTAAAAATAAAACCTAGTTAGAGAATTATTGGAATTAGGGATATTCTAGTATTAATATGATTGATCGCGTTTCACCTAGAAATTTAAATTCTCTTGTATTTTAGAATTTTTTATTGATTATTTAATTTTATACCCCTAAAATTTTATAACTTCGTATCTTTTAAATTTTAATATAACTTCTTAAATTTACTCTCATGACATAAATTTCTGGGTCTATCCGTGCATGAAACCTAATGTTGACATGATACGCACAATTTAACAAGATCTAACGTGTTTGAAAATAAAATAAAGGAAAAACAAATAAACCCAGATTTACGTCTGCATGGATTGTATTTTACGACCTACAAAATCAAACTAAACCCTTGCCTACGATTTTCCTTTCCCTGTTGCATCCTCATCCTATATATATTTTAAGCTCTCTATCCATCCCTTGGCATTAAGCATTCAAATAGTTTTCATATTTCCAGAGCTTTCTTCAGTTCTTCCCCAAACTCATTATTTACCTTTGGTTTCTGGTAAGTAAGCTAAGACTTGCAGTTACATATGCCAAAGGTATTTAAATACTAATCTGTGAGTCAAATCGTATTATTTTTTAAAGTCCCTTGCACTGAAATTACTTTGTTTATTTCCTTGTTAAATTCCATCCCTTTTCCTTATTCTTTACTAACGACAACACCTACCAAATATACTCTCATAACTCTGTCATAATTTATTCAATAACGAGTCACGTAAAGATACATGAACTCACATAGAAAAGACACCGAAACTCTTCCTTCCTCTCTCCCTCTACATATATATATAGTCAGTAATATTGTACATTCAGTTCTTACAATTTCCCAGCTCAAGTAATTTCCAGAAGCCATTCTTTGCAGAAAATGAATAGATCAGCAGCTCAATTTCCATACCCATGGCAGCGTTGCAAAATTGTTCACTTGGTATGTATATATACACATTACACACACACCAGCAGAGTTTGTTTATTTAGTTAAAGGCAGTCTTATTGAAACTTTATTTTTCAGGTGAGGCATGGACAAGCCATGCATAATGTCGATGGAAACAAGAACCGTGAAGCACTGTTGTCCCTCATCTATTTGAAGCCCAGCTTTCCCCACTGGGATTGCAGCAGGTGATTCCATAGCATTCAATGAATTATTCAAGTGTTTGATATAATCACTTGTTTAAATATTTCCATGCCTTTTTTTATTTCAGGTTGACAAACTGCGCAAGGACGTTCATGCTAGTGGGCTAATTAAGAGGATTGATTTAGTCATCACTTCCCCATTATACAGGTACACAACTCACGATGTGCATAATTTCCGAAGAAATATTTGTTTTCCTCAAATATGATTTTAAGTTTTGTATGATTGTTGATGGGTGTAAATGATGATGATCACTGCAGGACCATGCAAACTGCTTTTGGAGTTTTCGGTAACCCTGAAAGAGACGATTATGCAGGCGGGAATGGGAAATTTTCTGCAATATCAGCTGACGATTGCCCACAAATTATGGCAGTTGAGCTTTGTAGAGACCGTCTGGTTAGATATATATAGCTTAAATGTCTCAAGATTGGTGTCTTATAATACTGACGCAATATTGTTCTTTACCTTAGGGTGTTCGTCCTTGTGATATGAGAAGACGGGTCAGCGAATGTCATGCTCTTTTCCCTTCATTTGATTTTTCAATGGCGAGTTCTTTAGCCACCCTATCTTCAAACAGTATTTAAGATGCTGATTCATATATTATATCATCACTAAATTATCAGTATTGAAATAGTTTTGCTTGTTCAGATGGATGGTGAAGATGACAGCATGTGGAATCCAGACGTTCGGGAGCCTGAAGAGGAAATAGCCGCTCGAATGGTTCTATTCATGAAATGGTAATCTCAATATTTTAGAATTCAGAAATCAATTTTTAGATTACAAATTCATCAGTTTTGTTTCGATTTTATCCCAAATTCCAGGCTATGGACAAGGCCAGAGCAGGAGATTGTTATAGTCAGCCATGGCATAATCCTTCAGCACATTCTATACATACTTGGAAATGACTGTCATCAAACAGTTAGAACAGCTTTATGCAAACGGTGAGCCTTAAACATCATCTCCATCTTCTTCTTCTTCTTCTTCTTCAGAAAAAAGACTTAACATCCTTTGCTTTTTCAGGTTTGATAATTGTGAGCTTCGATCCGTGCTCATCGTGAATAAAAGGTGAGCATTTTGTTAGCAAGAGGCATGCATAACGTCGTATTGTGCTTAAATTAGAAACACACAGTTACTGTTTTGAACATCTTGAAGTTTGGTGGGGGCAGATTCACAGGTTTGCTCACCTACTCCAAGAGGTGTTGCGAAAGAGAAGGTGTTAAGGGAGCAAGTTTCCAATTAATTGCACTGATCAACTCACTTTGAAACAATAAAGTCAGTATTCAGTATTAATATTTCTACCTCATAATCTGATACAACTTTTCTTATGTTCCTTAAGATTTATGCCTCCTTAGCATTCTCATCTAAATTATCTTCGATTCCTCTCTTTCCAAATAAAATAGATGAAAGCATTTCATGCGAGTTTTAATATCAGTGTAATAAGAGACTTTTTTTTTTTACATATTGTCTATCCAAAGAAAGTTTGAATATCAACATAACGTATTCCTCGTAATATTACATAATCTCATTACATCTTTTCGAATATTTTTGTTTGCATAAATAAATGTTTCAGAATATGTATTGAAAACCAATGTAATTTCTGCCAAAATACTTTATTACGTAGATTTTGCTCTTAAAACATTCTAAATCCCAGTAATTGTAAATTTGTTACTCCCACTACCAAGGTTATCAACCCTTGGAATAATTTCAGCCTGCAACTTCAGTATTCTTCTCAAGAATCAAATAGAATTGCTCCGAACAAGACATATACCAGAATTGCCCCTATTTGCTATAGTGAAAATGAATGTACTTTGTTTTTGGGTTCTGTTGACCGGTAAAGTGATTAATAACAACCGTGAAAGGTGGAAGATGGATGGTTACAGTGATAATTCCGGTGGTATTAGTAGTGTTGATCTAGTTTTGTGGAGAGGTGTGCCCGTCTGGCTTTTATAGTTCAGAAATACTCATTTTACCTTTTTTTTTTTTTTGTATGGCTATTTATAATGCCTTGGACTGATGTTAATTAGGAGTTGTCCTGCTATTAATACTGATTGGGTGCTATAGGGAGTGTTGGTTTAGACTACAGGACCGTGTGTATCAACGATGGTTGCTGGTGATCATACATGTAGTGCGCTCCCACAGATAGTAGGTGGTTGACACGTAACCAATACTAGTTATTTGCAGGGTGTGACTCGCATGCCTAAAGGCTTGCATAAATATTATGTCCGTATATCTGGGATTCGCGGAACTATAGACTCGCATGTGGTAACAGGTTTTTTTATCTTTCATGTTTTCCGTCCATAGGTTCTTGATTGGCACTCATAATAATATAATTTTCAAAGTTGAAACATAAATTCTCTACTTCATAGTGGCAACACTAGTTTGTTATTTGGGAACTTCAAACAAGCTTAACTGATCGTTGCCTACTGTTATTCTGAATACAAAATGGAGGAGACAAGGGATGAAAAACAAACTTCCCCAAACTTTATTTTATCCATTTTTCAACTTTAAACGATAATATGGAAACTTCATTTAGAAGATTATTTAATCCAAATGTTAAAAGCTTATTGTGAAATGATTCATTAAGTCATATTTTCCCCGTCACATCACAAAGCATCACCACCGAAACAGTGCCCTCCGCAGGAACCACCAGCGCAATGTCCGCCGCAACTCCCTCCACAGCCTGCACCGCACCCGCCGGAATGGCTACTCTTGACCAGATCTTCATGGCCAGGGAAGTCTTTGATTCTGTCACTGATGGCTTCACCCCCACCCTTCTCATCAACGCACTCACCGCATGGAGCGCCTCCCGCCATCGTACTAAGCCGGTTGGCACTTTTTTCTTCATATTTGCAGCTTTTCACACAGTTGCTCCAATTTTCAGATAGTAGAAAAGCCAGTATAATCATGGGGAGTACAAGTGATTCTTCTTCACTTATCTGTTTGTAAAGATTAAGAATCAGTGTGATAATTAGGTGTAGTTATATTTAATTTGATATATACCTCTATAATGCCAGACTTGAAGTTCATCAATGCTACAGCTTTTCCATATGGATGATCCATGGAGAACTCAACAGCTGTCATGAAATGCTCTTCATTTTTCTGATTATTGCTGCTGTTAATCTCATATCCCAGTTTTCTTCCTCCAAAAACAATCAGCTAAGCCATAATATATACATAAAATTTAGGGTTTTGAAAATGAAGACAATCTATGCCTAGGGTATTGTTTTCAAAGCCATTGATACTCACCTTTCGATTTCCTTTAAACCCAAATGCATGGCCATCTTCGTGTAGTTTCTTATGAAGATGAAACCACCAACGAGAGTTGTTCAAAAACCAACCTTTCCCAGCTGGCTCTGCAAGCACATGCGTTTCACCACATGGTGTTAAGCCAATCACTTTCTTTCTTGACTGGTAATTGTCTCTTGCCTCTCTGAAAAGGTATTAAAAACAAGCAGATCATTGAAATTTTCCCAATTATGCTTCAAATGATAAACGTGTGAACAAATATACCTCATGTGGAGGATTATTATATCATTGCCAGCCTCATCGGCAACATAAGAATACTTCAAATGCTGAAACTTCCCAGGGATAACAGGGAATGGAGGTGTTCGAACCATGTATGGCGCTGGACTCGGAGGAATGAATGACAAAGCGATTTGTAAACTTATAGGCTTCGAGTCAGCAAGTGTCGAATTTGACACCAGATCGAACCATTTGTCTTCATAAAGCAGAGAAACCGAGCTTACTAAGTCCTTTAGGGAGATTGAGGTTGTTCCCAATGTTTTGGCAGGTTTATATGATATTAGTTCAAAGACAAGATCCCCTATAGGTTCACAGAGGAAATCAATTGCTTGTTTCTCACTAGTAGCAGACAAAATGCTTAGGCTTCTTTTGTTGTTAAGAAATGAATCTGGTTGTTTCTTGCTGATTGTAACAAAGAGGCTTCCTTTATGTCCCTGGGGTAGACCTTTTACCCCAATAATCTCAATCATAATCTGCAATAACAATAAAATAAAAAAAGTGTTACAATTTTCTTATTAGAACTTGCAGGGAAAAGATATTTGAGGCCTTACCTCCATAACCATTTTCCTATGAACTGGAAATAAATCTTGATCTTCATTTGATGGGGCCATCTTCTCCTCCATCAGGTTGTCCAATTGAGACAAGTCGAGTCCAAGTGGAGACGGTGCGTCTCCTCTGTACATTGCCCCAGCACGCCAATACCTCGATCCGAATATGTCTTCCCATTGTTTGGTGGTTCTAAGGAACCCATTGTCTAGCTTCTTACCCTTGGTTCTATCAGAATCTGTGTCATCATGTTCTAATACCTTTCCCAAGGCTGCCATCACATCTTTGCAGTAAGAAACAGACTGCAATTGGTGAGTATGCCAAATAAGGTCGATGTCATACGTCGGAACACAAAAACATCTCTCAGAATTTTCCCAATTCCTCTTTATCAAATATAGAAAACCCTTGTATCTGGCTAAAGCTCCGTCAAGAAAGGCATCATCATTCATATGGGATCTGGATACCTGTTCCATGTACTGTACTGTCAACTCAAAGCTTAAAACAATGTTATCTATGCTTTTGCTGTTTACATCTCCCTCATTTCTTAAGTACCTGATAAAAGAAAGCACTTTGCCTCTTGACAGCTGAAACTAGATCATACTCGGTGCTCTTCGAAGTTTGTACGGAATTTCGAACATTCTCTGAGAAATGGGTGCTCATATTAAGTTCATATGGCTCAGAAGGATATATCCTGTCCCAAATTTCTTCAGTTTGTTTTCTGCAAGTTGTCGTAATGGACGATATGACATTTCGGTTGTCTAGAATTCTCCCGTAGAGTTCCTCACAGTCGGCCTCGTATTGCACCTAACAAAGACAACAAGTACATATTAGTAAAATTCAAGGTGACTATATGTTTCATGGTTGAAAGTGTTAGAATAGCATACAGGGTTTAGCCTATGGCAATGCCAAATCCATTCACAGTCAAGTGGAACAACTAAAGGGCCTTCCGAAATCGCAGAAGCGGTGTGTTCGGCAAGCAGAGGAAGCCAACAGTATTTGTACCTAAACTTGGCACATTAAGGTAATCAAAAGATGGAAGCAATGGCATATTTGGACGTATTAATATCATTCAAGTCAAGAATTCACCTATAGATGGCTCGGTCTAAGATAGGGCCATCATAGAGGGACCGGTTCCTATCAACCTCCGCAAGGAACTGAAGCTGTTGTTTGGTTAAAGCCACGAGATCAACGCTAATGGCCAGATTTTGTGCCTCGGCCCATACTAATGCTTGATCCTGTTCCATTCTAAACATAGAGAAAGATGTAGCTTCGAAACTCAACTTGTCATTATTGATGTCCAAGAAAGGAGCCTAAATAGGTAATTGGGAGATCTGAATGTGCAGGAAACCATAACAAACGTGTATCTGTTAGTCCATGTCTATGAAAAATCATGCTTTGCGCATTTACTAGGAAATTTAAGGCAGTTTTGCAGGGAAATTCAGGGCACGCATGCCTAAATACATGCAGGTTCCCCTAAACCATTGATTTGTTTTGAAATATGAGAAACTCCACCAATTTGACATTTAAAAATCTAGTCCACTAACAGAATGGGGTTTTTATAATAGTGATGGATTCAGTAATATTTTTTTAGAGTTGACACATATATATTAATAATAAAAAAAATTGTATAAGGCAGACACAAATAAAATTTTAGGATGGGCACCATTAATGAACAATTAACATAAAAAAAGTTCGAATTTCAGAATGAACATTTGCCCATCATGAAAAACACATACATCCGCCTCTGATTATGAAATTAACCAATCTATTACTTTTGTTTCGTTTTGGTCATTCAACTATTTCTTGTTTCAAAATCACACCTACCGTTACGTTTTGGTGTATTTTGGTCATGTATCATTATAAGGTAGTGACACATCATCATTGAAAGTTTTTTTTAAATATCACCTTAATAGTTCTGTTACTTTTTTAAAGGCGATGACCAAAATGAAAAAAAAAAAGTAACGATCAAAAATGATTTTGAAAAAAATAATAGTTGAATGATCAAAACAGAGCAAAAAGATAATTTAAATACTAAACATGTAGTTTACCCTATTTTTATTTGGATAAATACATTAAATAAGCATGAGGAAACGATCAATGAGTAAAGAAAAAAATGTATCTGTAACTAAATCTTCATTTTTTTTATAGGGTAGATTGAAGCAAAATCTCCATGATCCTAATCCCTACCGCTTGTTAAACTACTCATTAGGTATTTATGTCCCATAATTTTTTTTATTAATCTGGAGTAAGTAATAAGGTAGTATCTGTTTAAAGATAATTCTTAACTATAATATTGAACGTTTACATCCTTGACATTATGATGCTCAAACTCGAAACTTCAAGAAATAACAACAATTCATTTACCTTCGAGATCGCTTAATTCATGTTATCCCATAAATTTTACATGTATATTGTTTTCTATTTCTTTTTCTTGATTTGAGTCATTTATGTTGTGTTTGGTTTCCCAAAAAATATTTTTTCGATTTAAAAATTAAAAAATATATTTAAAAAATATAAATATTTTTTTCAATAATAAAATATGAAAATACATGAAGTTGTTTGGTTTCTTATAATAGAAATAAAATTAAAAAAATTATATGGATTTAAATCGGGACTAGATATTTAATATTTAAAAGTTATTAAAAATTAATATTTTTTTGTTTAAATATATTTGAACTCGAGTTAGTTCATTAAGCTAATAAAATCCTTACTTTCAACTTTAACGATTTTATAAAACATTTTCAGTGACAACATTTTTGACCAAATCCTTATTTGGTCATTTTATTTTAAGAAGTTACAATAAGTCGCTTAATCGATTGTCTGTAACAATAAACTCATTGTACAGTTTAATCTAAACAATTTCTTATGTGTAATATCTTATTCATGTAAAATCCATGTAATGTGCATAATTTATGTAGGGAGATTACATCATATTTCACTAGTAATATTATTAGTAAGTTACAATTCAGTCACTGTATTTCCAAAAGTTATAATTGAGTCACTGAATTTTCAAAAAGTTATAATTGAACCATTAGTATAACACCCTAAATCCGACCAGCTATAAACGGTGGGCCTCTAATGCGACCAATGAATTTGAAAGTTTTTAAAATCACATGTATTTAACAATTTCATATCAACAAAATAAATAAGTATTAGTTTACAAAACGTTTATACAAAATCGGAGTCCCGTAATAATTTAGTATAAATCAAAATAATAACAGGGCTACATATCAAGATTATAAATAAGGGTCTATGAATACACATCATCTATCATCTAAAGTAATTGAATTATGTTCTCTGAATGATGATGTTGGAAGTCTTATAGCGAAGGTGCTTCTCTGGAACAACCATGATCTACTAGCATGCGAACAGGAATAGCCGAATGTTGAGCGATACACTTCTACTATATTATAGTTTATGTTTTCATAAATAAAAGCATACAGAAGTATAAACAGAGAGACATGAGTCTATACATTTATTACCACCTCACAATGAATATCGTGCTTAACCACAGTCATTTAGATACTATTCAAGAGTATTAATAATCATCACTAAGAGAAACATGCTTATTACATTCTTTTTAGGATTCACACAGTCATATCAATCTCAACAAGTTATCTGATAACTATCTAACATCAGATAAATAAACAACAATAGCACATGGTCACATAAAGGAATCATGAAATAAATAACAACAGTATCAGACAGGGCCGGTCCTGACATTTTAAGGGCCCTATGCAAAATAAAAGATAAGGGCCCCTAAAAACATATGGGCGCTACCATGCTCAAAAGGAAAAAATTATATATTCGAAATGCTAGATCTGGGTTTTAGAAGAATTATCACAGTAAAAAAAACAATATGTAATATGCTTTATACGAACTAAAAGTAAATATAATGGTTTGCTAGATAAGAAATTAACCAATAAAAAAAAGCATGCATTCAAACAATAAAAAAAACATTGAGTAATAGGTAACCTTTGAAATCTATTATTCCTTGAAGATGAGTTTACAGTGTCTTTGCAAGGATTTTTTTCGAATCACCTTTACATTCTGTTTGATTGGGTCCTTAAATATCCAGTTGCAATCGAATAAAAAACTATTCACTTCCTTGTGTTCTGTTTTTTTTTTGCTGGTGAGTGGGATGTGTTGGAGCCCATTAATGTTTTTATATATCCCCATAATATGCTGCTCCCCATAGTTGGTAGAGAAAAACTAAATTAATCTCCCTTGCTTGGCGTGCTCCTGAATATGCGTGAGTGGGTGGGAATATGGGCACTAGTGTATAGTAGAGCATGGGTGAGGTCTTGATCTTCTCAATTATGGTATTTCACGTGGGGGAAAGACATGGACAAAAGATGGGTTTTGAATAAATAAATGATGTGTAAGAAACATGGGGTAGTGTTTGAAATAAAAAAATGGTGTTTATAGTTAAATTATGTAAAAATATTTTTTTAATTATTAAACTTAAAAATATTTTCAAGAATGGCCCCCTCCAAACCTGGGCCCTAGGCGGTCGCCCTCCTCGCCTACGCTCAGGGCCGGGCCTGGTATCAGGTCTCACTAAGTAATCAGGTATCCTCAACAGAGATGGTACCTGATCTCACCAAGTAATCATATATTGTTCCATCAAAATAAATATAAGATATAGTTGTTAGTGTCACTAAGTAATCAAGCCGCGACATTACAAACATCGGGATTATCTATCATCATATGTGGTCACACACATACATAAGTACCCATAGACCATATATGTCAATATTTAAACTTTAATGCCCCGTTTGGTTCACGTCATATTTCATTTCTGGGAGTAATGTTTTTTTTCGGGTAGTGACACCCATGTTTGGATGAGCTTCATTCCCAAGTGCAGGTAAAGAATGAATACCAACAGTGGTATTTTTACCTTCTTTTCCCGGGAATATCAATCCCCCGTCTCTCTTAGGTATTAGCTTATTCCCGGTTCCCGTTGTCTAAAATACCCCCGCTTAGTTCTGGCTGAAAGAAAATCTGATTCTTCTTCCATTTGGCTTTCAAATTTGCTTCTGGCATAGGTATTTGCTTCTAGCGTTGATACTTTCAACATTTTTATTTGATTCTTAGCGCTGATATTTCAATTTGTTTCATTGTTCAATTTTTATGGGTTTGTGTTTTCACTCATGTTTCTATATTTTCTCTACTACTACACTGATCTGCCCATTATTTTTCTAATTTTTATGGGTTCGTGGGAATAATTGAGATGCAACTATTTTTCAGGCACCCAGATTTGAGCTCACTTGAGTTGCAGCAGTTAAACCCATTCAAAATCTAAGGAGTTATCCATCTTTCATTGAAAAACCATGTATGTTTTCATAGATGTGAACCTTTTCTTCTTCGTTTATGAAACTGATGCATTGTTTATTGAACTGGAACTTCTATCTGTATTTGGTTTGATTTCTTCTGGTTTTTAAATGAACACAAATGATTAAGAGAAATATAACACATCAACTGGAAAAACACTGACCTTGTAATGATTTGTCGACATAAATCGCAGAAAATTAATTGAACTGTAAGAAATAGATAAAATATTAGTTGAACTGTAAGAAATAGATAAAATCACGACAGAAAATTAAAGCCGAGTACAAATTTGACTTCTGCAGTTCAGCATATGTTCGGAAACAAACTCTCTAGATAAATGTCATGCTAATTATAGGTTAACTACGAAAGCTAAACAGGTTTAACCTTGCAAGGGCAGCTTTTGTTAAATCCGACCTGTAGTAGTAGTATTCATAGCGACCGTAATATTGTGGTAGATTCGCCGTCCGAAACCGGTATTGATGATTTTAGCGGTGGGTAACTGATTCACATAAATAACGGTCTATCACGCCCGCAATTTAACGGGTTACGGTGGGAAGCGTCGATAACGGGACGCTATAAGCGTTATTCCACCGTTATTGCAAAACAAAAACAAAAATCAATCAAAAAGACCATAAATTTCTACTGCTGAAAGAAACTAGATCTAGGTTTAGAAATTAGAAGAAAAAAATTGTGTGTTCTTCTCTTCCCACGATGACCTGAAATTTATACTGTTGAAAGAGGAAGAAAAAAGTAAAGGAAGAAAGTAAAAGGAAGAAAGGGGTTATACCCAAGGAAACAAAGTAGTACCAGGAGGAATCTTCGTAGTCATCTGATTGGATCTTGCAGGAAATGAAAGCAGGGGAGCTAGGAAGCTTAGTTTTGGGTTTGTGAGTGAATGTTAAACAATGAAAACGTTTGTTTTGTGAAGCTGTAAAGAAATTTTGATGAGGATATGAAGATGAAGACTGAGATTTGGGTATTTTTGAAGGCACTGCTGGCCCACTCCCATCTCATATTTTTTAAAATAAATTTTATAATATCCTAATTATAATTTTAACATTTCTCACCTTTTCAAATTCTATAATTTAATTCTTAATTTAGATGGTAAAGTTTAATTTTCATTTAATTTAGTTAGATTTTGAGTAATCAAAATTTCTAATATTTAAATTTTACAATTTTATTTTAATTCCATTTTATGTTCTTTAAATATGTCACTTTCTCTTAGAAAACATTCTAAAAATTATTAAAAACGATTTCTTATAATTATAATTATTGTTATTATATTTTAAGATAAGTTGTGTGAAATTTAAAAAAATTCACAACTACGACACCCGCAGTGACCGCGCTGGCATCCGTAATATCCGCAACCGCGATAAACGCGACGCGACCGAAAACGTGACCGCTAACTATTTAAATCCCCGGTAAGAACTGCTATGTCAAGAAACGAATTATACAAGTACAGTTTCAGAATTTCATTGCAAATGAACATTACACAGAAGGGGTTTAGAAAATCAACAAATGGATACTAAAGAGTCGTGACCAAGGGAACTGAATCGACAAATGGATAATACCATGAGCTATATATTTCTAAAAGATCATGACAAAAACATTTCACTTCAAATGAATTTTTTTTTTAAGCAGAACATACATGCTCACATAAATTCTAATATGATGCACTTAAACATTTACCTGAAAGCCACGAGACTTTGCTCCAAGAAATCCTGAACAGTTGAGTGCACCACAAAGACAACTAACATTTGCATTTGATTAAGACAGATTAATACTCCCACCATTTTTCTCTACCTCTCTGATTTGGCTTGAGTTTTTTCCCTAAAAATCACATCTCCCTCTGTTAGCATCGCTCCAATGTCAAGGGGATAGATTAGGTTGACTTGGTTAGAATGGGTTGAATATGCTGACTTGGTGAAATAGATTAGGCTGACTTGTTTTTTATGTGAGATTTGGATGCTACTATGTACTTCTAAGCTCTGTCCGAGAATGTTGTTAGTGTGAGATTTTAAACTTGTAGCTTGCTCTTCTTTTCGGGGACATGACATATGTTTAGACTTCTGCATTGCTTCCAAGATTTGCTCTTAGATTTTCTATAATTTTACAGCATATTCATAATAGGCTTTCTTGCAAACAAATAAAGTTCACTTCATAGTATACCTAATACTTGATAAATAAATCTGAAATAATAAAATATTTAAAAGCTCATGTGTCAACCAAAATCGCATTAAAAAATAATGAAGATATATTACCGCTCATCATCGTCTAAACATATGTCATGTCCCGAAAAAAGAGCAAGCTACAAGTTTAAAATCTCACACTACAACATTCTCGGACAGAGCTTAGAAGCTGGAAGCCAATAAAAACACAATGTAATATTAAACTAGAAAAAAGATATATCCATTTGAAAGGAGATATATGAGTGCAATGGTTTTCAAATAAGTAAAAAACACCAATTATGAACATTTTTTTTGAGGATGCAAATCATGATCAAGATTGTTTGTTTAAATATATTCAAGAGAAAAGGACAAAACCTCGAGGACTTTTTACGAGTGAATTCTTGAGATTTCTAAAACAATATTGCAAATTGCTTTAACAACATAACCAAATGTTTTATCCCTCCAAATCATGGTCTGAACTACAATAGATATTCCAAATTGGAGGGACTGATCAAACTAGTAAACAATGAAAATAAAGGAGTGCAATGTTTAGAAAGACATCAGTACAACATAAAGACGAATACTACTTATAAATTGGTAGCACAATCTGATAATTGTGGCTAATGGATTAAGCATCCATCTCTCTCATCTATTTCATTATAAAACATTCCAAATCCAACCTAAATATTGTGAAGATTACCATTCCAAAAAAAAAAGTTAAAGGGGCCTTAAAAGATGAGAATTAATACCCTAAACACAGAGAAAATCAAGCATAGTAGGATACTAAAGAGTCGTGACCAAGGGAACTGAATGCCAAACGTTTGTATCCTCCTTTGCATTCACAGCTCTTGATGGTTGTTATACATATATAAGCTGGTCGGCAATGAGGCCCTGCTCTTAATGCCAAACGTTCTGTTGTGAAAATATTTCGACAGTTGAGATGGGTTTAGTGGTCAGTCTCATGTGTAGGCAACCTTCTGCAGTTTTCTGAATTGCTGATAGATTGCAAAACACGATCAAATGATAGAATATTTGCATGCATACATGATTGTGTGGCGTAGCATTGAATCAAAGAGCAAAAGCAAACAAAACAAAAGAGGTGTAGAACTCAAGGTGTTTCCATGTTTCATTATTAAACAGCAAACCCCATGCAAAAGCATAAATGTCTTGAGATTTAAGAAACGTACCAAGATCTTATTAAATATTTACACAAAAATGTATTAGTTTCGATTTGAAGAAATTACAAGAGCTGTAATCATTTTTTGTTCTTTTGGCATTTTAATGTACGAGATTGTTTTTGCTACTAGTTTGTTTATGGTATTTTCTATGTCTGCATGACTCTCCAGACAGTGTATGACCATAACACTTTTAGCAAGGATGACAAAATGGGAGATGCTGAGTTTGACATCAGGCCTTACGTAGAAGCCTTGAAACAGGATTTGGAAGACATCCCGAGTGGAACCACAATATCAAGAGTGCAATCGTGCAGGACCAACTGCCTGTCTGAAGAGAGCGCCATTAAGTGGATCGACGGGAAGGTCGTGCAAAACCTTTTCCCCCGATTGAGAAATGTAGAGTGCGGTGAACTGGAAATCGAACTTAACTGGATTGACCTTCCTGGGTCTAAAGGTGTATAATGCAAATCCTAGCATTGCAATAGCCATCAATGTTCCAACACTGAAGCAGATGTCATGAACACTTTTTTTCGAAAAGCAATCTCATGACCGATAGTTTAGAATAATTCGGACATGGCCGAATTAGCAGCCACTTAAAATTGTTTTAGAATTCTCTTTAGATACAGGTAAGATATTTCACTTGTCCTTTGTGTATGATCCAAAAGAAATTAACGGTCTAGTATGTTCAAAGCTTGGCCACTGTCAGTTTTTGTATGTTCGGAGAGAAATTAAAGGTTGGGAAACTTGAATTATTGGGTTGCTTGCTTTTCGTAATAAGGAGTTAAGTACAAATCATATTAGGACTGAGTATTAATACTTAATATTAGCAAAAATAATGATGAATAACGGTGAAATATAAAATTCTAGACAATATGATTTTTAGTGTTATATTTTCTTACTTATTTGAATTATATTTTTGTAATAAAAATTCATTAGATAAATAATAATGATAAAGTATTCAGAATTAAGTATAAATATAAAAGAGAAATAAATAAATTATTTTATATATAAGATATAATAAATATTATATCTTAGATAACAAAAATAATTTATATCTTTTTATTATTATGAATATCTATGATAAATTATTGTATATAAAAGAATATAAACCTTGTCGATTGAAAAATAACCCAGTGAATGCGTCACGTATGAACCGAAGCTAGTTTCCACAATGTAAACATTTAATTAAATGTTGATGTAAAATTTTAATATAATTTTACATAAATTATGTAAAATTTAATATTAATTAAAATTAAAATAATACATGATATATTTAAATACTCAAGTAATATATCATCAACAAATAAAATTTTTATATAAATAATTTTTATTTAAATATTTAGAATTTCACTTGTTAAAAAATATAGAACAAGAACAATTTGGTAAAATATACATTCCAGTAATCTTTTATTCTTTCAACCAAACACTGTAATCTTACATTCCTGCCAAATCAACTAAACACAGTAATGTAACATTCTCAGTAATCCTATTCCATGGTAATCTTTTATTCCCACTGGTAATCTTACATTGTATGAACCAAACACACCCTAAGGGAAATCAATGTAGCTTTATTACATTAGTCATAATATTCAATCATTCATAAGGCACAAGCCTTCCTCACAAGGCACTTTATATATTGCATTATCATTCAATGAATTTTCATTATTATCACCCACTTGTACATGTCTAGTTTGTTTTCTTTCTTCTTTTTTTTTTTTTATTCCGACATGAACGCTGCATCTTGTCACAGTTTTGCCAGGCATTTTAAAGCAAGCTCGAGGATATCACATGGAAACCACCAAATGAAGTACCATACTTTAATGAGATCAAATGAAGTGGTTAGTGACATTTTACAGTTGATGGTACCTGGCAATCTGTATCTGTGGGTTTGAATTGTGCTTAAGATGATATATGTTTATAAAGAAAAATTGACATGTTAATAATTTGCCATGCATATTCCTACAACGCCTTTGAAACATTCAGGAATATCAAAGACAAGAATTTGCATGAAATGTCCTTAAAGTAACCTTATATAAGTGGGAGGGAAATGGAGTGATGGGAACCTACCTCACTCATCAAAATAAACCACCATAATCCCCACAAGAACACTTCCCATCGACAAATTTATGGAGCTGCTTGCTATCTCGAATGATGATTTCCCTTGCATTAAGCGAAGAGATGGCCTTCATAAAATTGTGGCAACCATTGCACATCCCTGTGTTCTTTATGATTCGTATTGGTGCAGCATCTGGTATTTTCAATAGGCCAAATGCAACAGCCAACTTCTCGCTATGTTGAACTTCTTCACCGAATATGGTAAAACTTTCAAGTGATTCATATCCAATAACACTCTTTGCTTTGTCAACTAATTCATCCAACAATTCATATATCTCAGCTCCATAAACTTGCCTCTCGTCGGGATTGAACGAATAAACCTTGTCGTGAATGCTAATAAAGCTCCAGTCTGTTAACTTTTCGAGTCTCTTCTCCTTCATCAGTTCTCTTACTTTTGAAACATCTTCCCATCTCTCTGCAGAGTCGTATATATTCAGCAACAAGAGACAAGTCTCGGCATCTTTTGGCTTCAGTTCAAGTAACTTTTCAGCAGCATAGAATCCCAATTCATTGTTGCCATATCTTTTGCATCCTGCAAGCAACAGAGACCAAGTGGACTCATTCGGAGGAAAATCCATCTTCTTGATCAAATCAAAAGCTTCATCCAAGGACCCCTTCCTCACAAACATGTCAATTAGGCATGAGTAATGGTCCATAACAGGTTTGATCTTATAATCTTTTTGCATCATCTCGAAATACCCGAGTGCTTCATTTACTATCCCGGCACGAGCACATGCTGAAAAAACACCAACAAAGGTTACTTGGTTTGGTCGGACTCCAATCAGTCTCATATCATCAAAAAGCTGCAGTGCTTGCTGAGTCTGCCCATTTTGCGCAAAAGCAGCAATCATAGAAGTCCATGAAATCAATGTTTTAGCAGACATCTCCCAAAAAGATTTGCTTGCTCTCTCAATGCTTCCACATTTGTTATACATATTAACCAATGCAGTTCCCACTATCATATCTGACAGATACCCAGTTTTAAGAGTCTGAGCATGAATTTGCTCCCCTTGTTCTAAGGCAAACATCTTACTACATATGGTTAAAATACTCGAGAAGGTATATAGATCAGGTTTGAAGCCAGAGTTATTCAATTTCGAGAAAATGTTGAGAGCCTCCATTCCATTATGGTAGGCTGAAAGATAATCCTTGGCAAGTTCCATTATTTCACCATATCCCGCAATTATCGAATTCATCGTAACTAAGCTCATGTCTTCCATGCCGTTGAACAGCCGCAGCGCTTCAACAAACCATCCACATCTGAGATACAAATACATGATTGAGTTCTTTATGCGGAGGTGTGTTTCATATCCGAGCTTGATGCTTAAACAATGAACTTGAGCCCCAAAGCTCAAAGATAGCATTGTACAGCACATACTCAAAACACTTGTGAAAGTGAATTCATTAGGTTCAACATTGTCAGCTAGCATCTCAATGAAGAACCTAAGCCCCTTTGCAGCTTTACTATTATCCCCACAAGCAGAAATAACAGCAGTCCATGTAATTACGTTCTTTTCCTCAACCGTAAGAAAGGCCTTAATAGCGGAATCCAAGCTTGCACATTTAGAGTATAAGCTGCAAAGTGAGTCCCCAAAGCTCAAAGATAGCATTTACAGCACATACTCAAAACACTTGTGAAAGTGAATTCATTAGGTTCAACATTGTCAGCTAGCATCTCAATGACCCTAAGCCCCTTTGCAGCTTTACTATTATCCCCACAAGCAGAAATAACAGCAGTCCATGTAATTACGTTCTTTTCCTCAACCGTAAGAAAGGCCTTAATAGCGGAATCCAAGCTTGCACATTTAGAGTATAAGCTGCAAAGTGAGTTTCCAACACTTGTGTCATGATCAATATGGTATTTGATACTGTAGGCATGAATTTGCTTCCCCAATTCAAGAGAGTCTATTGCAGAACATGCATTCAAAGCAATTCCAAGGGTATAATTCGTCGGAAATGACCCAAATTCGAGCATCTCTTGAAAAACAGTAATGGCAACATCTGGCTGATCATCATGAACATAGCCTGTCATCAAAGTTGTCCATGCAACAACATTTCTTCTAGGCAAACTGTCAAACACTTTTCGAGCATTTTCCATGGCTCCACATTTGGCATAAACATTGACAAGGAATGTCATCACAAACACATCTCGATGAGTTCCAGTCTTTATGATATGAGAATGAAGATCACGAGTCCCGGAAAACGAATTCCTTTCAATGCATTCTTGCAAAAGCGGGACATAACAAGATGCTTCAATCTTTGAGCCATCTTTTATGACTGAGAGTGATTCTTGGAAATTCAGAGTCAATGATTCTAATTTTCTATCAGATTGGATTAATGTACGAGCCCTTGGATAAGATATACTTGGACTCTGGAGGAAAAAAATCGTACGCAGCTTAGCATCAATAGATATAAAAAAACCCCACAATTCCAGCCAACTTCCATTGAAAATGGGAAAACTTTAAAAACAAAAAAAGAAACCAGAATTTTGACAGATGAGCGGAGTAAAAGAAGTGCAAATATGAGTTATTCAGCATTGGAAAAGAACTTGTGTTAATTTTTTTCTAAATGCAAAATAGCGAAGAGAATAATTAAGGGAAAATTTAGTGAAGAATACCTTATCTGTGGAAGCAGAAGTGGTGGAGTGCTTTGTGGAGTCTGGTTCGAGCTTGAGAGTACCAATGCCATGAAATGAAGGCAAAGACGCCATTGGAGAAAGGTGGGAAGGATGATAGAAATATATTGAATTGAATGGAGAAGCATTTTGTGAATCTATGGTACAACTGTTGCGCTTTACGTTATCCTAATTCCTATCTGCTTGTCTGAGATAAGTGTAAGACAAATAGTGGACCTCGAATTGTTGCTAGGGATGGGCGGGCCGGGTTTTTTCCGCCCGGCTCCGACTCAAAAACATATTTCTTATATCCTGTCCATCCCGCCCCAATAAATTTTAGTTTTTTTTTTCCACCCAGACACTCTTCGGATTTTAGACTAAAACCATAATTTCGACCCGATCTAAATATATTAATATTTTTAAATAATTAAAATAATACATTTTATTATATATATTTATAATTATTTATTATATTTTAAACAGTTAAAATAATGTATTTTATATTATTTATTATATTTTTAATAATGAAATAGCATGTTTTAATAATATAAAATTAAAATTCTTAAAATATTAAATATGTTATATATAAAAAATTATAAATTAACTGGGACGAGTCAGATCAGTAATTTTTCACCTTAAATCCGGCCTCATCCCAAACTTATATACTACATAACCAACCCTACTCCGAGTCTCAAAATTTCAAAAAAAAAAACCCACCTCTATAGGATCGGGTCAGGATCTTCGAGTTCTGATATTTTGACCATCCCTAATTGTTGCCTTCTTTTAAAAAAATAGTAAAAAGAATACTCTATGCTTATATTTTTGGGTAAAATATATGATCGATTACTTTCGTTTAAGTTTTATACATTTTTACTCACTGAATTCAAAAACTAAAATATTTGGTCACTTTCGTTTTTATTTAATTAAGATTTTATCACTTGCGGTTTTTATTTAATTAAGATGTAATTAAATAAAAAAATTGGCTGACCTTATTCCCATGTGTAATGGGGTAAGGGGAGGTAGGGTAGTAGGCTGCCTCCAACACCAAGTTGAGAGCAGCTTCCGTGGAAGACCTCCGATATGAATTGCCCTCAGTGGGACTCGATCCCACCACAAGGTTAAGAGCCTTGCGCTCTACCAACTGAGCTAGACGGGCAATTTTAAGATGTAATTAAATGTGGTCACTAAAGGTTAATTGTTGTTAGGCTTTTAACAGATTATTAACGTGGCATATTGAATTTATAAAATTAAAAATGGTAAACTACACAAATGGTCACTAATGTTTGTGTAAGTTTTAATTTTCCCTATTAAAGTTTTAAAAATAACAAATTGGTCACTAAAATATCAAATAGGTTATTGAACAATGATTTTATATCTAATTTATTCAAAAAACTTTCTAATTTTTCTGTTTATCATTCGAAATATATGATTGTTTCATATCCAAAAAAGTTCATTTCTAAGGGGTAAATTAGATATAAAATCATTGATCAATTATCTATTTGATGTTTTAGCGACTAATTTGTTGCTTTTGAAACTTTAGTGGGAAAAAATAAAAACTTACTCAAACATTAGTGACTATTTATGTAGTTTATCCTTTTTAATTTTATAAATTAATCGTGTCACGTTAGCAATATGTTAAAGGTCTAACAACTGTTAACCCTCAGTGACCATATTTTAATTAAATAAAAACGAAAATGACCAAATATTATGTTTTTTAAATTCAGTGAAAAAAAGTGTAAAAGACTTAAACGAAAGTGATCAAATATAAAAGAATATGTTTAGAAAGTCGTAATAATAACTATCAAATTGCATTTTTCTACTGATTTATTCTTATTCCGCAAATATATTATTATCAAATTTTAACTCGATTGATAACATTATTATTATAATAATATATAGAAAGACATAAATTTAACTATGTTTAAATATATTATTTTTAGATAAAAAACTGATTAATTTAAATATTATATAAAATATTCAGTAGTGTTAAACTTAAACAAAATCTTTCGTAATTTAATCCATTTTAATTCAACCTAAAAATTTAATTATAAAAAATGATAAATATCAATATAAGCTTTTTTTATTTTTATTTTCAATATTTGATTAGTGATAGATTCATATTACAAACCCATTCCAAAAACGTGAGTATAGGTACAAGTCTGACAAGTTCTATAGATTTATTCTTGCCATATATGGGTTAACACTCAAATGCCCAAATGTCTATGCCAATATATCTTCTTATTTAGATTATGATTTTAACTTTTAAAAATTTAATATATAATATTTTACTTTTAATAGTTTATAAAAAAATATATATAAAAAATCAATATAAAATATTTTAAACTAATATTCAACGGGCAGGTCGGGTGGTATTTTGCTCCTTTATATCCAATTTTATTTATTTACGTAATCATATTTTTATCGATTCAATTTTGAATATTTATAAACTTTAATTTTAACTCTATATCGAAACTCTTAAAGTTGTCTATTTCTTTTTTATTTATTGGTTGATAGACGGTGTCATCAATTTTTGTGATGGTCGCTATTGTTTCTAGTTTTTACTTTAATTTTTTTATATTATACCATTTTTACTTTTGTTTTTTATTTTTAATAACTCTGTCTGAATAACACGTTTATTTATGCTTTTATAGCACATTTTTTTTATCATTTAACCCTTGTTTTAGGTCATCTTTAGCCCTCATCTCTACTCTACAACATTTCTGTCTCTACTCTAAAGATGAAACAATAATTCATATGGAGCACTATTTCTACATTACCACAAACTCTACTTTATTCACAATATTTAACTATTAGTATGTTTATTTATCTAATTTCAATATATTTTTATCTATCTTGCAATTTAATCTACTTGAATTTATTATATTATGTTTAATTTTTATTTTATTATATAGAAATTACAATAAAAAAATAAAAGATAGAATAAGAGAAAATAATGTAACAAAGAAAAATAAAAGAAAAAGAAAATAACAAAAGAAAGTAAAAAAATAACAAAAACCAAAAATCATAAAAATAACAAAAAAATAATAATATGTTGTGCAGCTACAATGCAACTCTAGATGTAGAGTATCACTGTATCTTTTTTCTACTCTAGCGTTGAAAGTGGAGATGTACTGGAGTTGAAATTCATCTCCAAAGTGGAGATTTTCTCTACTCTAGCGATGCGCTGGAGATGATCATAGTTTATGTTTTTTTTTTCAATGTTCAATTTGACATCACCACGACTGATAAAGATGCCAATTATTTGTTATTATATTGATATTTCATGCTTTAGTCTCCCGAATTGGATTTGGATACGAGATTTGCGTTTGTGAATAATTTTTTACTTATCTCGATTCTGATTTGCGATTTATCGATGATCTTTTAGTAGTTTTATCTTCTTTTGTGTTTTGTTTGTCAATGTGACCAGTTCTATTCGTATCCGTATTTTGTTCGATTTTTTAGGTAGAGTTTTAACTTTTTTTTATTTAGTCATTGGGTGATCTTGAGTGACTAGTTTTTATGTTAATGATTATATAAAAATGTCCTAATTAGATGGTTAATTTATGCTTATGATCGTAAACATTTATTATAATTTTAAATATTTATGTTTTTTAATAAAAAAAACTCCCATGTCATAAAATTCTCTATTTTATTTGTGAAATTATAGTTTCAATATTTTATTCATATACAAATAAACAACTTAATTCAAATTTGAACTTACTTTTAAAAGGAAAAACCCAGGACTGCACCTGTATCTGGGTGTGTGGTTGGACCCGAACGGACTGGGTCCACTGGCTTCATCCTTGAAGGAGCTTTGAGACCTATCAATCATGTAACGGCTATTCCCACTAAGATCCGACAAATGAGTCGAACAATAATTTTTTAATTAATAAGAAAATAAATTTATTAAACTTATCGAATCAAATTAAATATAAATTAAATAGTTTTTTAATCAAACATAAATCAAATAAAACAATGCATTTGTAAATCATTCACTTTTTTTCCCTTTCTAAATATCATGTTTCTATATTGATTTTCTTTTCCTTTTTCTGCATATGGAAGAGCTCACAAACCATCAATCAAAGCACTTCCTTCAGCACTGTACATATACTGCAAAACATGAAAAAAAAAAACATAAACAAAACAAAAGGAAAAACATAACCCCAACCCATTTTCACTTATCGGCAACTGATCTTGAAGAAGGAGCAGCATATCTGGAGGAGAAGCCACGATAAACAGCCCCCTCTGGATCATCATCTTCATAGCCATCGTCAAAATTCTGGGCATAGCTTAAAGGGTCGTACTTAAAGCCACCAACCGGTCTGGGTCGCTTTGCCCTGAAAGGTGCCGTTATGCTATTGCCCAAACTCCTCAATTTCCTTCTCGTCCATGGAAGCTTCAGCTTGAGACGACCCCAGCAAGAAAGCAACTCTTCTTCCTTAGCCGAACTTCTCTCCATGGATTTTGATGAGCCTTTTTCAAAAGGAAACGTTCTTTGCTATTCTATACGTTAAAGAAACCAAAAATGTGATCTTTATGGATTTTGAGCGAGTGGTGGAGATGAAGGGCATTGGTACAAACAAAGCATCAGTATATGGCAAAAAGTTGTTATCCTTTCGGGTTTTATGAAGGGAAAAAAAGAGGAAATTGAGAAAGGTAAGTGAGGAGCAATGCAAACAAAGAAATGTAGGGTCGGAGACAGATAAGCCGAGGAATCATTTGTCGTCATTCAATTTGCAAAGGAAATGCTTGGGTACATTGATGGTGTAATAAATTTACACCATAGGATCCGTTTTGGAGCTGTAGATTTTTTTGTAACAAATGAAGAACTGAAAAACAACGTAAATTGGATTGGAGAACCATGGTTTAAATGATGGTTATCGAGACAATGTCACATCGTTTTAGTCTTAAACCAGCAGTAAATACTTTGAGTTTCATTTTTTAAAAGATATTTGATAAACTCTATTGCGTATAAACCAGTGGTAAAAGTTTCTTTTTTCAGAAACCACTTTGTTTTTTCTTCTCTTTTTATTCCAATTTTTCTATTATTTACAGATCTATCGGAGTGTAGTGGGTGTTTGACGTTGGCCCCTCGACTGGTGTCTCCTGGTGGCGAAAC